AATGTCAATTCCCAACCTGAATGACTTCGAAGCGATGATGCGCCCGCGTTATCCTGTGGAAGAAAACTGCTCCGGATCGTGTGTCGATTGTGTTGAGGATACTGGCACCAGGACATGTTCCTGTAACTTTGCGCGAGTCAAGTGTCAAGTCCGAACCAAGGCTGAGCAGCAGGAGAACAAAATTGAGCTAGTTGCTTATAATGAGGACCCGAGGTTCCTGTTTGGTTTGGTGTCTCCCTTCAGCAAGAAGAAAGACCTCTATCAGGTAATGGGTTGTGACTACGAATGCCGTAAGGTAAGCCCGGATGTTGCCGCAGCCTTCGCTGAAGACACGGAGGTACGTATTGTGGAGACGGAGCCTGCAGGCGATGGTAGTCCGCTGAAATTGAGGCTGAGCAGACGCGAATTGAGCACACTTCAGCTGCCTTTGGCAACATGTAACAAGCATCCTGAAGATAACTGGAGCAAACTGGAGGTGATTGGCCGATATCCATGTAATGGTGACAGTGGTATAATAATGTGTAGAAAAGACACATCAAGCGGGTGTAAGTTCTACAAATGGTGGTCTTGTGAGAAATTCCGACCTGTGTCATGTCATCGTTTTGGTCCGGTGTTGATGGATGTCTTCGCGGTGCAGGATGCGATTAAACATCACGTGGGCGGGTTTGACTCTTGTGTTGTGCGATGTGATGGTAAGGATGCAATAAAACATCAATGGTTGGAGGAAGCTGAGAAAGTATTGCTGAAGGACCGTGACTATGTGGCCCCGCCGGCTAATACAGCACTACATCCAAAAGAGTTTGTGCCGCTATGGCACAGGGCCGATACACATTGCTCATCGGCCTGTGGCTCCGATCTAGAGGCTTGCCCTAATGCACGCAACTGCCTCTGTCGCATTGCACATGCCAAGTGCAACGTTCAAGTCAAAGGTCTATCAAAACCGCTAGACATCGAATCGTGGGGTTTCAACGCACGGATGCAAGATGTCTTTGGAATGCTATCCATCCCAGGCGCGAATGCCAAAGACGCTGCCACCGAACACATCCAAACCAAGAACTGCCGCACAGATTGCCATAAAGCTCTCTGGTCGTCACTTTGACACAAAGCAATCCCTCAAGCACGAATAGTTGCTCGCATGTCACACGCACAGTGATCGGCCAACAAATTTATCTGAACAGATTTTTCCACTACCAATCGAGCACCTATTTCTTTGGCAGAAAAACCTGGCTTGTGAATTGGTAGGAGAGCTTCTTTAGGGTCAAGTAGTTGCTGCCAGGCAGCTGTACCAACGAAAAGACCATTCAGAGGCAAAGGCCGCAGAAAAGACATGATGGAGGCGGGAACACTCAAACAACGACCACCACGTCGTGTAACAGAGTTCCGCCGGCTGCCCCAGTGGCTCGGTTCCGAATGACACGACGATACTTCAAGATGGGAGCGAAAGGACAGGAAAGATGAACATGGCGGAGATATTGGCTGAGTACCTCTTCTGAACAATCAATGATTCCTTTGGAAGGAGTTACTATCGTGAGATATCGAATAAGAAGTGTCCCCGAGTTGGTGAGTTGTGTGACCGGGAGCCAAGAGCGACTCACGGTGCGCGCACAAAAGTGTGTGCACACAAACACGCGCACATATTTTTATGCGAAGATTAATTCCATTTCTGACCTCTTCGAGTCCAGCGAAAAGGGAAGGCGCCAACGACCGCGAGTTCTAGGCAAAAGTTTACAAGAGGGGTGTCACGGGTTCAGTTCGGCGTGACGCAAGGAGCTCTATGGGTGGCAGCGAGACGGCAGGCAAGATGAACAAGGTGTAAGTGTTTTACGGCTCGGCCTAACACGTTTTACGCGGTCGACAAATTTGGGCCGGAGAAAGCGTGTGCGGCCTCTACTGTTTTGAGGAGAGAGCGCGGGACTGGCCGAAGGCTGGTCCATGACGACGATGCTAGGATGGCTTGAAGGATGACGACGAACGAGAGAACTGAAGATTGAAGGTGAGTGGAGTTAAGCCCCAAGAAAAAAATGAATACTTATTTGGCGTTATCTTTGCCGCGTGGCCGTTGGGTCGCCAGGGAGAGGCTTCCTCAGGCGCATGGCTGAGTAGTTGCACGACTCATGAGTTGAACGTTTAAAAACAAACGTTAAAATATTTTGGTTGTTGAAATTTATTAGAAATGAAGACGCTCTCATGCAACGCGACGAGCAAACTGGAGCGGCTGGGACTGCTGGCGTCGCTCATGGATTCCGATGGGATGCGTCCACCTATTGATGGCTGTGATGTTATGCTCTTGACACTAGGTGACCGAAGAGGAGACGCTTGGGTTCAATTCCTTGCAGCAGCACCGAAGGAGGCCATGGAGAAGCTGATTGAAGCAGCCATGGACGCTGACGCTCTCACTGAGGAAGCAGCCGCATTGAATGAACGCAAGAACGTTCACTGGCTGGAGATGTGCTCAAGAATTTTCATGTACAGCCCGTATGGTCAGGCCAACACTTTGGGCGAACAACTGGCCATTCGGTGCATCAAAGAGCATCTAGACACCGTGGACCCGGAGGGCGAGTTCTCCCACGTTTCGGATCGCATTTGGCGCGAGAGCATCAGTGGGAAAATGTCGGAATTGGTCAAGAAAGTACGTTACTACGACGATGGGTCGCTTGAAGATTTGGACTATCAGGGTGAAGACTTGGCAATGCGGCTTTTGAGAAAGCCGTCCGAGATTGAGTCAATCGAAGAAACCGGCTCGCTGGAAGTCATACGGTGCAGACCTTTGATACCTGAGGAGGTGGCGGATGTCCGCGGTAGTCTACCGGTAGAGTGGTTGCCGCTGCTGCCGGAAACAGGCCGGGACCGCGATGTGGAGAGCGGCCTGGATCGTGGTTCCAGTCGGTTCGGCCGGGGTCGATGTTGCCTGATTGTTTCTGCTATTTCTGGCCTTTTTATCGTTGGGGGGGCGATTGGACTCGCTGTGTGCTACGCCGGTAACTCACAGACGGACAAACCAACGACCCTCGCTGGGAATGTGACGACCTCAGAAGCTTTGTTGAATACTTCGGCAGTGACCACGTCGACAGTGACTACCACACGATATCCGAGTCGTTTCAACACCAGGTTGACTGAGTCCGTGTTGAACGGGCTCCAAATCCTGGGGTCCAAATGCCAGGAGCTGTTCTACTCACCGGAGTATATGAGCGGCAGTTCTCACGTTCTGGACGCAGATGCAGGGCCATATCCGTGTGGTGGCGGCAGTGGGCAGTTGCTATGTGCAGCGCATCAGAGCAACTCCGTAGGGACGTGTCATCATTTTGGCGGTCCGTGGACGTATGAAGCGTTTGCAGTAAAGGAGGCGATTGGACATTATCTACAGGACAGCAAAGGTTGTGTTGTGCGATGTGCTGGTGAAGAGGAGGCGCTCCGCAATTTGTGGGAGGAGACCCGACGAAATCTATTGTCGATTCCACCCTATCCTGGTCGGGGGTTCCTAAAATTCACGAAGAGAGTG